ACATAACTCAGGAACTTAGAAAAGTTTGTTTTTCTAAAAATCAGCTCTATCCATCTCTAATTCTCAATTTAGACATAAATACCTGTAATTAGCTTAGTATGAATAGGGTTTTCTGGGGGAAAAAAAAAAAAGAGTACTGACCTTAAATCCTTATGGAGAGGCAGTAAGCATTTTTAAATAATTCCATTCCCAGCAGTGTAAAAGTCTCTTAACATCTAAACTTTTTTTTCCCTAAATTACTTTTCTGACTGCATTTTACTCTGGAAAACCTAACTGCCAGATGCCACTCAAATCTTAATGCTGTGTAACAGTTCATTTAAAAAATAAATAAATAAATAAATAAAGTCCTAGCGTATGTACCAGTCCCATACAATATATTGAGTCACAGTTGCCCAGGGCAAGACCTTGGCCAGTTCTTAAAAGAAAGCTCCCTAGATGATTCCAAGGCTTGAGATCTACTGGAATAGAGGCCGAGATCCTACAGAGCTCTAAATTTCTATCAACCTTACCAATACTTATTGTTTGTATATCACACAAGTTAGTGTAATTCCATGTTATTTGATATATTCTGACATCTGTTTTATATTTAGTTCCCAAACTAAACTGTGAGGCCTATACCTGTAATACTATTTTTGTCTTCTCCATAGAGCTAAGCACCTTGATACCTAAATACCTATGTCCTATATGTTCAATCCATACATGCTAAATTAGAAGTCAATTGTTAGGCAATGTGTAAACACTAAAATCCTAGACATGTTGATTTGAACTTTGAAGATTAAAACACTATACTGTGATTCCAAAACAGCTTTAAAAAAAGATCCAAATGACTTGAGTAACTCTTTAAGAACTTCAACCTTCTAGACATTTTTTTGGGGTGAGGGGTGGTAAATAAAGAAGAAAAAGCTTGTTCTACAAATATAAAATATTTATTGCAGAGACAGGCTATACTACAAACTAATACTTAAAATCCTTTAAGATACATGATAAAGTCTCTATTGTTAAAAATTATACAGATATTTGGCAAAAGCTGACACGGTACTTGTTATGGCAACTAAGTAGGCCTGGTGTTATTTTTAGAATCACCTACAATTTGCTGGATATAGTAGAAAACTGTTTTTCCCAGCTTTTAGCTATTTCTCTTACAAAGGCACAAGCTGGGGAAACAGTACTGGGGGGAAAGTGACAAAAACTATAATTTAGTCTTTCGAGGCAAATCTCCCTCTTCGGCAGATTTTTGTTGAAAAGACTAGGGTTTGGCCAGGTACCTAGTAGGTGGATTTCATGTCTGTGGTGAATAGAAACAAACGAAGATGGTACAAGAGGCAGTGCTTCTTCTGATGATCAGTAATGACTGTGAAGCAAACACGCTGCCCTTTACAGGCAATGTTTCTACATTAAATGAGATAAATTGCCCCTATATAGTTCTTCTTACACCCTCATTTGTCATTTCTTAAAACTTGCAAATACTCGCAATGTTTTCTTTAGAGAATCTACGTGTGCTTGGTAACCAGTGGTGTCTAGAAGGAAACAGATGTACTACATTCTGATTCACAACCTTCCCTAAATGAACCAAGAGCATTATTTCTACTTTTACAGAAAGTACACAGACAATCACTCGCAATTGGACAGGTTTCTCCCCCCAAAGAGATTTCTTATTATTAAATGTCTCTAGGTAATACATGCCAGATGATCTATAATTAATATGATTGCCTAGAAATGCCCAAGCCTACTAAAGTAGGAATTTTAAGAGTAGTTTATAAAAATAAAACCACGTATAAAGTGTAAACTACTGCCATTCTCACCTTAACTGAAGACTGAGGTGTGTGGGTTGAAGCATTCTGATCTGGACTTGTTTTGTCCCCTGTGTAATGTGCTGCTGCTCCAAGATCAATGGTTTTGGAAGGATTTGCTGTGCGCTTATGTCTGGTTGTGGTGGTCTCTGTGGCCTGTGTGATATGAATATGCTTTGTCGTCACAGTCTCCTCCTCATCTTTGAATTCACCTTTGGGAGATCTGCCTCTTCTCGCTTTTTTTTCCTCATCGCTGTCGCTAAAAGATATTAAAAATGAAGCAAAATAATAAGACTTGGGATTATTTTAAAATGGGTCCCTCGGTGATTTGAGCTAAAGAATTTCAAATGCAGTAACTCCAAAATTCCGTACTTTGACTATTTGACAGGGATCAACAGAATGTTATCTAAGCTGTCTGAATAATGATATGTGTGTGCTGGGGAGGGGAAGTGGGAACACAGAGAATATCCCACATAAGTCTATAACAATGCTATAAAAAATTTACATAAATGTATATAAATAAAAAAATCAAAATAACTCAAGTTTTTGTTTATTACAGATTTAAAGCTTAATTTAAACATAAAATAGCAGGATTTGATATCAGATTCCACTGATAAGACCCTGAGAGTTCAAACACTTGCATTTGATGATCATTTTCTTGATATGGATTGTGAGCAAACAGCTATAGTTCCACTTTAGTAACACAATTCTGTCATTAACTCTCAAAGATTAACGTATGTACATAATAAAATATTTAAATTTCAATGGGTATTAAAAAATTTTTATATATCCTAATTCAAATAATTGAACTGTCCTCTGTAAATGCATGAAAATATAAGGGGAGGCATTTTACAACTGTGCTATTTTACTATAGTATCAGGAGATCAAACTTTTATATAACTATAGAAAATGCTTTATAGAAAACTTAACTATGTTTAAAATATTTTAAAGATAATGCTCCTTCAGGCACATTTAAACATTTTATTTCCCTTTTAATAGTTTAAAAGATTTTGAAAACCAAGGAGTTAAAAACCTGGATTTTTCATATGCTAGGAATGAAAATACCAGCCTTAGTCTGTTCTCCAGTAACAAGTCATTGGGTTTTTTTCCTGTTCAGGTAGGAGACAGAGAAAAATTACTTGAAACACGTTCCATTACTTATATTACCTAATTTTAGAGTGGGTGCTTTAATTTATAAATATTCTGGAATATAATGCTTAAAATTCTCCTTTAAACTACGACTACTGCTGATGCAATTTACCTCAGACTGAACTATAGCCACTTCTACTTAAACATAAATCAACGTGGAACTTGTATACATCAAAGATCAAAAAGAATGACTTCCCACATAGAGCAAAGGGGTTAAATATATGTTTAAATATAAACATTTTAAGGAACCTACAAGTTCTGACATGGATTCAAAAGCTCTTGCTAATTTCTCAACAACAAATAATCTGAAAATTCCCATCAGTCCTCTAAGTAAAACTGAAATTTCTTACTTTTTTGGTGCCCAATTTTATTTCAGCACAAAGTAATTTATTTGTAAGTTGAAAATATAAATCTGACTGGCACACAATGAAATGGAAGCTCCATATCTGGTCAATGTTCAAGAATTCCTGAATCTAATAGTGAACTAGTAACTATGAAATTCAGGTAACATGCCATTGAGGTCACATGCCACTTTGTCAAAAAATCTACTCTTCTCTCACAAATATTTTCAGATCAAAAGCTCCTGGTGTGTTCTATCATTACCACGATAAATCATGTTCACTGCATTTTCACTTTTTTAAACCTAAATACTCTTTAAAGACTTAGAAACTCTAGGAGATCCTTAGAGGCAACATAAAAAATAAAAATCATGGGAGAAACAGAAATAGAAAAAAGAGTAGAGAGACAAAGAAAGAAAAGAAAAACTAAGGATAGAAGGTCAAAGGAGAGAAAGTAACAATGAAGAACACATACAGATTTCTAACCAGCCTACATAACCTTGTTGTTTATAAGTAAAACCTAAGACCCAATCAGACTCCGTGGACCTGCCTAAAGTAATACAGTTAGTGTGGAACTAAGTCTTCCCTGGAATGCCTCTTTTTCAAGACCGTGAAAAACTGGAATTTGATCTTTGAAGAGCCAGAACTTATTTTTAGCACTCAGAATATGTGTATTTTACAAGTATCTAGCTTTTTTATAATGAAAAAGGATGCATATGATAATTATAAATACTACACACTGGGAGGGAAATGGTGCCCATTTCAAATATATGAAGCTATTTTCCCCTCATTAATGTTTTTGTGGCCTGTATAGTAAGTTTTGCTCTGGTTTGTAAAACATTATTGAAATTATGGCCATTATTCTTTTGATATTTCCTGAAGAGGCATTCCAGGGATTTAAAAAATATGAAAACATCCTAAAACTACACTAATTAGATTGTATTTTTGTTTGTGCCTCTTTTTAATAATCCCTAATTCTGAACTGTTAGGATTTTTGGTGTGGGGTAAGAAAAAAAGGAGATGGTATTTAGTTACAAGAAATCACTTGAAGGCTTGGTTCCATCACTAACTGTGTTACTTAGGCAAGTCCACTTATAAACAATAAAGGCAAAATTCTTGTTCTACTCTATTTAGTAGAGATATTGTGAGGCACAAATGATATATATCAAACTTACGAAGTAAAATTTGCTCTGTACATTAAGTGCAATATACATTATCCTTTATGTTGTCAGAAAAATTGGTTTATAACTATATTGGCAGGTAAGAACAAAAGTGACTGCTGCAAAGCTCAAAGTATTGTTCTATGTAAAACTAAATACTAATGCCCTACCATCATAGAATGTAGTTTATAAAAATCAACTACAGGTCTATTCTCAAAAACTGGTTCAAAATCCACTTGGATTGTTTTTCTGGTACACACCAGGAATCATAATGAAATGTCAAGGAAGCATTAAATTTCAAATCCTTTAACTTATGTTTAATTAAACTTAATACATAAACTTCATTATCCCGCAACATCTTAGGTCCCTGGATCATCTAAGGTCCAAATGCAAAATAATCTATATAAGTTTTTACTAAGGAAAAAAATCCAAGGAAAGACTACTAGCCTGAATAAAAATACACGGGATCAACTTCAAAAATAAGTAGACACAGGCAACATGGAAAGTATGTCAATACTAATTGCAAGTAGTATCTAACCTAGCATCTTACAAATAGTTGCACAGTGCTTGCCTCGGGAGCACTCATGCTAAAATCAGAACAATACAGGGAAGATTAGTATGCCCTCTGTGCAAGGATGAGTTGCACATTTAAGACTTGTTCCACATTTCTGCACAGGGTATATTTAGAGTTGTGAAACTACTCCATATGATACTGTAATGGGGAATATTATGCATTTGTTGAAACCCACAGAAGTGTACAATATGAGAAACCCCAATGTAAACTACAGACTTTAATAAGTATATCAATATAGGCTTTTCGATTGTTAAACAAATGCACCATAGTAATGCAAGATGTTCACAGAACCTATTATGAAGGGGAAATGGGTATTTGCTAACTCTCTGTACTTTATGCACAATTTTTCTGTAAGCATAAACTGCTCTAAAAAAAAAATGAAGTCTATTTAAAAAAAAGGCCCGATTTCAGATAATGTTAACACCCCAAACAAAACCAACAAAAAACCAAAATTCCAGTGGCATAAATTTATGACTCTTTCCAAGAGACCCAGGAGATAAAGTGTTAAAATACCTGCATCTTTCTGGAGAGTCTTCTCTATCTTTCCTCCGGAACTTGCTGATGGTGTCATCAATTGTGCTTCCAATTTTATCACTCAGCTCACCTAATTTATCACTGAATGGAAAAGCACTCTTGTTTTTATCCCACTCCTCATCCCATTTTGATTTGGGCTCAGGATCGTATCTTTCACCTATATAAAGCATTAAAAAAAGAAGAACTTTAAGGACAATAAATTCAAAAGTATCTACAAGTCCTTATTTCTCAGGCTTTTCCTCATAATAAAATCATTTTCAAAGGAAAACAGAAAGCTCCCACAGTGCTGAATCAACACAATTACAGCAAGGCACAGCATGTAATGCCAGTCATTAAATGGCAGGAATGCAGATTCAAAAGCTTTTGTTTATGAATACTTACACAACCTTAATGCACAGCACAGCATATCAGGAAGTTCTTAAAGGCCACTGAAAGGAATAGAGGAAAACACAAAACCAACACAAGCTATACAAGCAAAAGAGAAATGAAAATCTTTTTGTTTTTACAAAAGCCAGTTAATATATTTTATTCCTGTCCCTTAATGGTTTTTGAATTTTCAGAAAAGTACTGGATAGCAACAGTGTCTTAAAAAATACAAACTGAAGGAACTCCACTCTGAATGTTACACATCCCAATAAGCTAAAATATCTCAGTAACTGTCACTCCTCAGTATCACACTAAAAAAACAACTCAATGAATTTTCAGGGATGGGAAAGCATTCTGTAATTATTGTACAAAGAAAGGATTACTCTAACTACCAAAAACTACACACACTGGAATCATGAAGTATGCTCAAACAGTAGCTCAGAATAGTGTCAATCAATTCAAACACCCATTCCAAACATATGCCAAGACTGGCAAAACCTAGAGCCTCTGTGTGAATTTGGAAACGCAGAGAATAGATCGTGGCAATAAACAAAAAACCCAAAATGTCAAGATTTGTTTAAGTCCTTGCCCTTAGGGGCCTGGGGAGACAGGAATTACAGACACAAAATGAAATCCTTCTATTTACATGTCCAAATTCAACTTAAGAAGCAAGAATAGAAGGTATAGAGAGATCACAGCACAACAAAACAAAAAACATTAAAAATTAAGGCAGGTTGGAAGAAAAGGAAAAGGACAATGAGAAACAACAAAATAACTGAAAAGTGGCTAATGGATCTTTTGTTTTGAACTTTTGTTAACAGGATCTAAAAGGATACATATCCTCTGGAGCTTGAACAAAACCATTCTGCTGAATTGCCTGCTAAAATTTTCTGTAAGTGTTTAAGGATTTTAACCTATTTACTGAATCTGGAAGTGATCACCAACTTAGAGAAAACATGACAAAATGAAATTTTTTAGACAAAATTTAAAGCAAGATGGCTTATAAAAAATAAGTGATTTTCCAACAATGTGTAAGTACATTTCAATGACAGTGTCATGAACTAGACTTTGGAAAACAACAAATTTACAGGACAGGAAGTGGATGAAACCAAACTGATTAGCACTGTGAACATCATAGTAAATTAGTGCTAAAGATACTGGATATTGGCAAGACATTATCTAATGTCCAAATGAAAAAACATGCCGGGTATGGTGGCATGTGCCTGTAGTCCCAGCTACTCGGGAGGCTGAGGTGGGAGGATCGCTTGAGCCCAGGAGTTCTGGGCTGTAGTGTGCTACGCCGATCGGGTGTCTGCACTAAGTTTGGCATCAATATGGTGACCTCCCGGGAGCAGGGGACCACCAGGTTGCCTAATGAGGGGTGAACCGGCCAAGGTCGGAAAAGGAACAGGTCAGAACTCCCATGCTGATCAGTAGTGGGATCATGCCTGTGAAAAGCCATTGCACGCCAGCCTGGGCGACATAGTGAGACCCTGTTTCTAAAATTAAAACAAACAAACAAAAAAGAATGAGAAAACACAAAACCGGCTGGTTGCAGTGCCTCACGCCTATAATCCCAGCACTTTGGGAAGCCAAGGTGGGCAGATCATTTGAGGTCAGGAGTTTGAGACCAGAACGGTCAAAATGGGGAAACCCTGTCTCTACCAAAAATAACAAAAATTAGCCAGGTGTGGTGGCTCATGCCTGTGGCCCCAGCTTCTCAGGAGGGTTAGGCAGGAAAATCACTTGCACTTGGGAGGCAGAGGTTGCAGTGAGCAGAGATCACACCACTACACTCCGGCCTGGACAACAGAATGAGACTTTGTCTCAAATAAAAAAACAAAATAAAACAAAACAAAAAAACCCACAAAAATGCCAATAATGAACAGTTGTCTGAATAACACAAAACATGAACAATAACTTAGCAAAAGAATGTGATGCAAACACACAGGATGTCCAACTCTACCTTTATTACAGATGCTGCAGTTAGTACATTCTGCCTAAGTTTGAAAACGTATTCAATTTTCTAAGTTTAGCTGATATAATTATACATTATGCTGGCAAAAAGAAAGATACAAGCAAGAATAGCGTGGAAATAAGTTTCAAATACCAATTTCTATTAAAAACACATTAAGTTGCTATAACTACTTTGAAAAAGCTAAAGAATAAAACAACTACTTGGGTAAATAATCCAAAAACTTTGTACTTCCCAAACAAACAGAAACTCCAGAAACTCCAAAACATTATTTATATGCTTTAGGAGAAATATTTTTTGCCCAATTCAGAAACTGACTTGTGGCTGACTCTGGTTGCACTGCCTATGAGTTAGCACTGGGGGGAAAAAAAACTGACTTGTATATGATGCTTCAATATAAAAAATGGAATTTTTCTGCTGTTAGAAACATCCTTAAACAGTTGACTAAATGCAGTATTTTTTCTTTGAGGGCAAGAAAGCAGAGGAGCAAATGAGCAAGGAAATTTTATATGTAAGAGTTTTACATGGTTCCATTGAAGGAGATATGAGAGCTCAATATAATCCAAATATAAACATATATGGGTGGGGGCAGCTGGAAAGCCTCAGTGAAAACAGCTGCTAAGATGCAGCACTGGCCTGTCTGCATATACACAAAATGACCAGGAGATTGTCAGAGCTCATAGAAGACAGAACAAGTGCAAAGGGACATGCTGTGAAAGATAGTTCTTATTTTGTATATCTGCTTCAAGCACCTATGCCTTATTTTACAGAAACTATATTATTACATTAAAAATAAACACAAAAGATGAACGTTCTAGTTGCTCTTAAACGTATTGAGAACAATAAACAAAGCAATAGGCCTAGATGAAAAACTGACAGTATCGTCAGTCACCTTTGATACGTCAAGTTACGCAGTGCATAAATAAAGAAAGAGAGACTGAGGCTGGAATGACTGACAGGAAGATTATCTGGTTTGGGCCAAAAATACAGCTAAATTGGTTTCAAATTAGGTTAATCTCCTGATCAAACTTTGTATTTTTATGCTCTCAAATGTGAGTTATAGAAACTTTTCCCCCGCTTCTTTTTAGAAGAATAGTAACTCCAAGAGGGAAGGGTATACATCTGTTTTATTCTCTGTATGTCACCTCAGAGTATGTAGTCATTTAATCAGCCATTAATGGTTAAAATCCTACTGCTGAACCCCCAAGTTAAAAATAGGAAGATTCCCAAGATTCATGAGACAGAAGCCAAAATTAGTACGGCATGTATTTTAGTCTTCTATGTATTCCAAGAAAAGAAAATTAGCATTTTGGTCTTTGGTATTTCACTGATTCTTAAAATATACTCAAGAAGATAAGCTGATGCTTAGGTGTCAGCTTGTCTTTGATACTTACTGTATCTGAATCCGCCAACACTGTCTGAGGAAACCCCAACATACTTGTCTTTGTTCTTCTTTGCTTTCTTTCGCTCCTCACGAAGCCTGTCGTCATCCTGGGCAAATTCAACCAATTCCTTCACCTTCTGTCGAATATTTATACCTTGATCCTTGCCATGCTCATCTATGAGGATGGTAAGAGACAAACAAAACTTAAGAATTCACTTAATATGTATCAAACTCTTTAAGATAAAAAAAAAAAGATATAAAAACTTCATAAGAAAGCAACTTCAATATTTAAAAAACTATAAAAGAGGCAAACTGTGCTATTAAACTTTGTCATTTTCTCTTCAGCAAGTTCTAAGTTTTAAAATGGAATTTTGGCATATAAGAGTATATAAAGATGAACTAAAAAGGACCACAGATAATGGTACTATGCAAGGTCAATTAAAGATTCACTAAAAGGGATTACTGATGATCATACAAAATAGACGTATCTGTAAGTGCTGTTGTGTTTTTCTATCGTATTTTAAGAAAACAAATGAAAAGAACTACTTTAGCATTTTAATAACTGAAAAACATACAATGTCTTGGTTTCTCCAGTACAAGTCTGGAACACTAATTACCAGGTTTTAGTGTAGCTCACAACTGAATATTTAAAGTGCTTACAACTAGGGTACACTACAAAATGAAACGTGCTTCATTCCCTAGCCTCTTTCACATTCAAAACACACTGTGGCCTTGCTGCCTTTGCACAGTAAATATTATTTGGTGGGAGGGAAAAAAAAACCAGCTTCAAACAGATGTGTGTGTTTTGGAGCTCTAACCTTTTCTTCCCATATGATT